CTAAACAACAGGAACTACTACATTTAATTAAGTGCACTGTGTATATATTGGTATATTTAACGGGAGGAGAATTAAATTAAATTGGAAGCAATTCATAAAACGCGCATCTCGAGCAATTCGGTGAAAACCTCAGCGCCGACACGCCGATTCGGTGCATACTGTGAAGACTACCTATCTGAGGGAACTAGATGATGTCGTCCCTCGTCTTTACCCACCCTACCATGGCAATGTGGAGTTTATGTTGGCATTGCCCCTTATCTTGCTACAATTTACACTATGTTATTTTACATCGTTCCGGCAAAGATAATCGACAGACCTGGCCATCTATATACTATAAGTTTATTTTGAGGACACATTACCAAACACATGTTTTCAGGACACCGTCCTCGAAATATTAGAATTATAAAGTACGAAATATATGTATATAAAATATTTTTTATATAAAGTATATATCGGGGACAGTGGTGTAGAGTTGCAACCTCATAAACAGTTCTTATATCCAACGTATAATTTTGGGGACAGCCGAATATTGGAAATGAAAGGTCCCTTACATTGAGTCTGGATATATATATATATTGAAATATAATAAAGTTTGAATTTCAACGGTTATATATATTTATTTATTCTCACCGTATATTTTGAGGACAGTTGAATATTGGAATTGTAAAGAGAGTCTGGATAATTATATATACTGATATTAAGTTAAGTTTGAATATCAACGGTTTTATATATTATCTATGCCCAACGTATATTTTGAGGACACAGGAATATTGGAACTGAAATGTCCCCCAAATTATGCCTGGGTATATACATATATTCATATACATATATTCATTTCATTATACTCAATATATACAAGTATATTGGAAATGAAATATGTCCCCTAAATGTATACATATATATGTATGTATATGTATATTGAAATAAAACCAGGTTTGAATTTTAATGATTATATATTCATTATGCTTAACGTATATTTTTCGGAGCCTAGAATAATAATATGAAACGAACCTTAAATGATATACTTATACTCTCGAGTTTAATATATACCTTTAGGACATAGGAAATAATTAAATAAAATTTTCTTGATATATGTATGTATTTAGCTAATTCAATGGGATTGATGGATTTGAATTTTAACGTTTGATTTCAACATGCTCGGTGTACTTTATAAGGACATCACTCAATAAAAAAAAGGTCCTTAAAATTTAAATGGAACTTAAGCAATTATTTTTATGGTTTTATATGTTTATTAGTCCTTCAAATTTATAAATATTTTGAAGCTACCCTTATGACAACAATATGTTTCTGAAATCATGTATGGATATATTTGAAAATAATTAAGTGATTATCCCCAACATAAGCCAAATTTTTAAACAATTTTTTCAAATTGTTTTGTTGTGCATTTGTGAAAATGTAATATATTTGAACACAAAACTTGGAATACATGACAAAGTAATTGATTAATTAATTTTTTGTTTGTACTCTAAAAATGTAATTTCTTAATAAGCTTATAAAATAAAGAAAAACTTTTCATTCATTTTGGTTTGCTTAACATCTAAAAGTATCAATCAAAATTTGGTAGCATTTTCGTAATGCAATTCATTTTTATAAAATTATATAAAATTCTCATTCATTTTTGTTTGTTAAACATCTATAGGTATCAAACTTTAAAGTGTACAAAAATTTTGTAGTAGCATTTCCGTAATGCAATTATTTTCATAAAATTTTTATTTAAACATCTAAAAGTATCAAGTTTTATAGTGCAAACAAATTTGTATAGTACCATTACCGTAATGCAATTCTTTTTTATAAAATTATTAATATTGTTTTTTTTTTATCGGAGACTTCCGTTGACAATTAACGGTTGATTGTTTACGGAAGGCTCCAGTAAGAAAAAAATATTAATAATTTTATAAAAAAGAATTACATTACGGTAATGCTACTAGTTTAAACTCTAAAAAAATGATTTTCTTTCATAAACTTTTAAAATAAAGAATACATTTTCATTCATTTTTGTTTGTTAAACATATAAAAGTATCAAGTTATAAAGTGTAAACTAATTTTTGTTTTAGCATTTCCGTAATGCAATTCTTTTTATAAAATTATTTTGATTTTTTTCTTGACTCAGACTTTCGCTGATTGTCAATCCATGACTTAAGCTGTGCTGGAGTACGACGCTTTAAATATTGGGATGCAGCAATAACCCTATTGCACTCTGCTAAGCTAGGTAATCTTTTCAACGATTCGAAATTGCCGAAAGCCTCTTCCATCTCTTTTCGCTCAGGTGGCGACCAACGAATGCGTTGTGTCTTGCCAAAAGGAGATGCTATATACAAAATTAAATAAGATTAGTAAAATTAATAATAAAAATACAATTCATGCATTCAAAATTTGGTTTATATTTGTATAATGTTATAGTTTTTTGTTCTTACTACTGCGGCGTTTTCGATTTGGCTGCGGCTCAACTATTTCCTCTTTTGACTTTTCAGACTCATTTTCGTCGATGTATTCGGATCCAGAATCCTCAAAAGGTTCAGCTGTAAAATTGAATTCAATTTTTTTTTTTTTTAAAGTATGGTTCATATATGACTTATAGTATATCTTTCAGGGCCCGGAGATGAAACTGTAAAGGAGTCTCAGGTCTTTTCGACGAATAATGAAAATCAATGGCCAAGAGCTTGATCGGGTCCCTAAGTGATATACTATATATAACATACATGTACCCAGTCACACACATACACAATTCAATTATCTAAAAATTTCAATATTGTACCTTCATTTTCGATGTCTTGTGCACAATTATCTTTCTCATAAAGTTCACCTGCTAAAAAGGAGGATCATATCGATACAAAAACAATCAAAGGGAGTAAGAAGTACTGACACTGTTCTATTTAATTTTCTTCGAAGAGTCAACCTTTTGTATTGCATTGCAATTTGTTTCGTTTTAGCTGTCAGTTTATTTAGAACATCTTTGTCTATATTTTCTTCCATTGCATGAGCGGTGTTATAATTTTCAATGCTCAATCGTTCTATTTCTCCAGCCCGATGACGGTTAAATATTTGGAGACTTATTAATGTGCTTCGTATCAAACTATTCCACGCTTCAAAATCGAATTTCTTATTCAAAACATTCAGCGCATCGGCGGATTTTTTGTTAACAAAATCAAAGAGTTTTTTAATATCCTCTTTCAAAGGTAAAATTGTTTTTACAGCTCGACGTTTTTTGGCTTGGTCCTCGATTGCTTTTTTGTTTATGTTTACAGGTATTTCGGTTTCCCATAAGACAATAAAATCATTTACTAATTTTTTATTTATCTCATCTTGATTTATTATACATTGTGTCAATAATATTTTTGCACATTTTTTTTATTAATGAGCTTAGACTTGTAGCAACCGATGGGGTTTTAAAAAGCAAAAGTTCGTTATCCCACTGGGAAACAGTTCGAATGCTAGACATCATAAGTTCATGATGTTTGGGATGAATGGCATCCTTTAACTCCTTTATTTGGCCTTGCGACTGTTGTTTTAATTCATCATCGTCATTTAAAACTGGAACAACTTTTCGACGCAATATGTCATTTGCAGCTTTATGCATATAGCCAGTTTTGCTGCGTCCATCCCTTAACATGTTTTTCGAACCATTAGGATGAAAAACACGGCAGTTGCGAATATGGCAACGAATTGTCGATTTCCGAAAGAAGCCAAGACAACCTTTACTACTTATTAAATCATGTGGACCATTACGAGAATTAATTCGGTTTTGGCGAGGTGCTATTATAATACCTTCGTTATAGATTTGATCTGTGTTGTGGATAAAATCTCCCTTTTTCCGAATAGAATCAATTAGAATTTTTCGATTGGGATCGTTAGCTGAAAGAACCATAAATTTCTTAACATCTGGTTCATTCATATGAACGTTTTGTAAATGTCGAGCAAATTTTGTTTGCAATTTTTTGCAGAACATACAAAAGTGTCTTTTGCTCTTTGTTTGTGTTTTTGCTGTAGGTATTTCAACATTTCTAAGATCAAAAAGAGGTACTTGAGCTTCATATGAAAATGACTCGTTTATTGTTAATGATGAGTTGATGCCATCGTATGTTGCAGATTCTGGCCAATTAGATCCGAGTGATTCCAAAGTGTCGGTATAGCCACTAACTGCTTTTGAACTAATTTCTGAATGTTCTGTAGAATCTATTAAAAATGATTATTAAGCTTTCTAAATTAACATTTTAAAATTAACGTATCTTATAAAACTATAAAAAAACAGGCTATAAACACTCTGTTCACTTATTACGAAAGAAATATTTCGTAGACGCACGGGGTATTTTATGGATTAGTGACATTTTTATACTCTATACATAAAATGAAAAAAGCGAATACTTATTAGGTTTGTGCAAAGTGAAAATGTAACATGCAGAAGATGCCAGACCCTACAAATATATATTATTGATGATCAGCGTGACGAGATTAGTCCATTGAGTCATGTCTGCTCGTCCGAATGAACAACTGGATCTCACCTCCTTCCCCCCCCCCCTCCACTATTACGATACTATTAAGGATTTTCCGTGATGCCTTTTATATACAAATCTAGAACTGAAATAGTACAAGAGCTACATAACACCAAATTTTAAACATAGATGCCCTATGTGAGTACGCTGCAGTATGGATTTCGAACTTAAATTTAATAATTAAAGGCGGTAAACTCAACTTTAACTTTTTCACTTATTATATTTAGTTTTTCACAGATTTTCTTTCAATTTTTAACAGTTTTAACTATTTGTAACTTATATTTATGATTTATCTATTAACTTACTCAGAATGGGGTCGAAGCCATCTGCTCCAATCGCCTCTAAAAGTGGAAAATTTTAATTAAAAATTAGTAACACAGTCGACTTTATAATAATCGAAATATCTTACCAAAATCTTTTTGAATGTTTTCTTTATTATTTAAATTCCCTTTAGTACTGCCAATTTTCTTGAAATATTACTCAAGTAATTTACTTACCTAATTCTTTATAAAGTTCCACTTCATTATTATTTACTTCACTGCTGTAAGACAATTTTTGTTTAACTAAAATAGGAGATATATAAATTAAAATATTAGTATTACATCTAACTTTATTTATAATAATCAAGATACCTTACCAGAATCTTTTTGAATGTTTTCTTTGTTAACGCCACCATCAGAGGTTTGGCCCTCTGAAATTTAAATTCCCTTTAGTACTGCAAATTTTCTTGAAATATTTGCTTACAGCAATATTACTCAAGTAATTTACTTACCTAATTCTTTATAAAGTTCCACTTCATTATTATTTACTTCACTGCTGTAAGACAATTTTTGTTTAACTAAAATAGGAGATATATAAATTAAAATATTAGTATTATATCTAACTTTATTTATAATAATCAAGATACCTTACCAGAATCTTTTTGAATGTTTTCTTTGTTAACGCCACCATCAGAGGTTTTGCTCTTGGCCTCTAAAATGGAAAAATTTAATTAAAAATTAGTTTTTGTTTGCCACTCTTTTATATCGGTGAAAAAAATTGTATACTTACTGTATAACGCCTCATTCATCTTTTTGCATAGGCCTTCGAGAAGTTCTTTTGATTCTACATAAACGTAAATATGTACATACGAATGTATATAAGTATGTGTGCATGTTAGTATGACCAAATTTACGATGCAACTTACCACTGGAATTAATAATTTCTGCTTCAAAAGTAGCTCCATTTATTTTTGTTAAACAAATGTTTTTTGATATTATTTTACATTTCTTTTTCTCAAAAACGTACAACTTTCCGCACTTTATTAAGTAAAACATTTTTAGTTCCGAAGAAGGTAACACAACCGATTTTTATGACGTTCACTTGCTTACTGATCATCAAACAATGCAGAGAAGGCAGAGCTGACAATTCTAACGGTTCTTTTATTCTTTACTATTCATTCAAGGCCATTCCAGTGCAGTGCACACTGCTACGAATGTACAGTATGTCAACAAATTGTTTGCAATAGATATATTGTATAATATAAAGGAGACTTGCATCTTTTTTAATTTGCTAATTACATTTTAAGATAATATAATTTAAGATTGATTCAAATAAAAAACTTACTTATTTGTTCAATGCCATTAGCATTTTTGGCAACAATTATTGTCATCAATGATAAGAATAATCATTTGCACGAATAATTATAATTGTAAAAGTTTATTCACGAGTAATTTATACGCATATTAATATTAAAACAAGGAAGAACGCTACAGTCGAGCAAGGCCGACAGTAAAATACCCTGTTCCCAGACTAAGTTCCGGCACCAAGTTATACATACACATGTATGTATGTGTCCAGATGTGGGCGAAGTACTGTAGTGAATTTGTTTCTCTAACAACTTTTCTTTCGTATAATAATTATAGAATTTTAACGAAATTGTAATATTATAAAAGAAAAATTTTGATGGATTATAACTGAACATTTACATAGTAATTGTGTTTTTGTGATTCTATGCGTGTATGTATGTACATATGTGTCAGCATCAAAAAAATTATAAAATACATATGTACATATGTCTGTATGAACTCAAAGATCTCAGAAAGTATAAGTCTTAGAATAACCGAAGAGAAAGTACGAGTTTGAGTTTTTTTCCGACAATATATTGTTATCGAAAATTCTTCAAAACACTTAAAAATTTGTTTACTTTTTAATAAATATCCTCTGAGAAATATCCACTGTGTCGCCAAAGAAAGAGAAGGCAACCAAAGCATGTGTCGCGCGCAGTTGGGTATTCATATATTTCAGCTCTACTTTTAACGTTCTTTCTCTAACGTTAGGCTTCTAGCACTGATTTAGCGTGGCCTTGGCATTTTTTATTTGGCGGAAGAAATAAAACAAGTGGAATAGTTGCTGTCCCTACATTAAAATACTCTGTACATGTGTGTAGAATATTTATAGAAATTTAAAAAAAAAAACAAGAGAGAACGCTACAGTCGAGCAAGCCCGACAGTGTAATACCCTGTACCCAGGTAAACTTCCGTCACTGAGTTATATGCGGCCAAAGCAGCAACAAAAAGAGGAAGAAGAAGAGCGAACTTGTTGCTGCAGTTTGTGGGGGTTGTACTGGAGAGAATTTGTTTCGCTAATAACTTTTCTTAGAATTGACCGAATTGAATAAAATTTTAAACAACAGTAGATATTTATTTATAAATTATGTGTGCAAAGTTTGGTTTAGGTAGCATTTGAAATGTGGACGCTATTGACGAAATTCTGTAGCGGGGGAAGGGGGGGAAAATTAAAAAAAAAAATAAACTCGTCCTTACTCGGATCTAGGAGAATCTGGATGCCAACTTTGGTTATTCTAGCTTTTATAGTTTCTGAGATCCTGGCGTTCATCCAGACGGACAGATGGACAGACGGACGGACAGACGGACGGACATGTCTAGATCGATTTCTCTCGTCATGCTGATTCAGAATATATATACTTTATGGGGTCGGAGATGCTTCCTTCTGTATGTTACATACTTTGCACAAACCTAATATACCCTTTTTACCCTACGGGTACAGGGTATAACAAGAAAGGAATGCTAAAGTCGAACAGGCTCAACAATTAAATACCCTGTACCACCCCACAAAAAATTTATTAAAAAAAAATTAATTAATTAAATTAAATATAAAATATTCCATACATAAATTTACATTTACATTACATCATATGTGTGCATTAAATAATTATGCCAAATCAGCAACAAATACAGCTGCGGACAGAGCTTAGGCTTGGTTATATGGCTATAACTTTCTTTGTAATCAACCTATTGTAATGAAACTTGATATACAGATATATAATCACTAATTGAATGTGACTACCAAATCTATCAATTCAAATTCAAATGAATTGATCAGGATGACAATGCGAGTCGATATAGCCATGTCCGTCTGTCTGTCTGTATAAACGCAAGGATCTCAGAAAGTATAAGAGCTAGAATAACCAAACTTGGTATCTAGATTCTCCTGAGCCCGAGAAAGGACGAGTTTGTTCATTTTTTCTGATCCCCCCCCCCCCACACCCGCCTTATTCACGATTTTCTATAACTCCCGTAATTCTTGGAATTTTGAACTAAAATTTGGTCACATTAAGTTTGCGATATATATATCCGTATACCAACTTTCATTATGATAGGTTGATCAGAAAAAAAGTTATAGCCATATAACCAGGCCCAATGCACACATACACACATATGTATGTACAAGTACACAAACACGCATACACACGATTCATGATGTAAATGTATGTATAGAATATTTTATATTTAATTTAATTAATTAATTAAATTAAATTAATTAATTAATTTAATTTCTTTTTTGTGGGGTGGTACAGGGTAATTAAGAGTTGAGCCTGCTCGATTTTAGCATTCCTTTCTTGTTTTCCAATAAAAAGTTTGTGTTATAAATTTTGTCCGATCGATTTCAAATTTTGGGCTACAAATTTAAAATTGCTAGATATACTACTTGGTATTCAACGATTTCAAAATATAGAAATAAGGCTTTCAACTTGCATATAAAGCAAATAAAACAAATATTAAATAGTTGGGGACATCACGTAAGCAGACTCACAAGCACACAGTCCCAAGGATTAAATATATATATGTATATATATATATTTTTTTTATTAATTAGATACATTTATTTATAAATTATGTTTAGAAGATATTTTAAAATATTTTTTTCTTTTTTGCTGGAGTACAGGGTATTTTACTGTCGGGCTGGTTCGGCTGTAGCGTCTCTCTCTCTCTCTCTGTTCATTGGGGATAGGAGTGGGCGTGGTCGGATCGGTCCAAAATTTAGCACAGTTCTTATGCATGTCATTACAAGTACAAGTACTAAATTTCAAGTTTCTAACTTCACGTTTCGAATTTATGCACAAAAATCGGCTTTCTGGCCCAATGTGCAATGTGCATACATCTGCCGGAATGCGAAGCAAAATATGCGTAGTCCGTTTTCAGTTTCTGCTTTATTGTCGCTTACCGAGTCGTTGCCTAGCGACGGTAACTGTAAATTTTTGGCATTTTGTCTAGCAATAACAAGAGAGAACGCTGCATTCCAGCAAGCCCGCAGTGTAATACCCTGTACCCAGGTAAACTTCCGTCACTGAGTTATATGCGGGGTGGGTGTTTACTGACCAAATTGAATAAAATTGAACAACAGTAGATAATTATACATATATAAATTATGTGTGCAAAGTTTGGCTTAGGTAGCATTTGAAATGTAGCGTAGAAAGGGATGGAAAATTAAAAATAACAAAATTTTTCCTTTCTCGGACCTAGGAGATTCTCCTACATACCAACTTTGGTTGTTCCAGCTTTCTGAGATCCTTGCGTTCATCCAGACGGACGGACAAACGGACGGACGGACATACTTTGCACAAACTTAATATACCATTTTTACCCTACGGGTACAGGGTATAAAAAGACGTAAATGATGAAATAAAGTGAATGAAAGAAGAACAATAAGACCGATCCAATGACTTGCAGTTGTTTTTAAATTTGATTTATCATTTAAAACCATAGCGCACTATTGCAAATTACACAACAGTGTTCGATTGTCCACAATACACATACAGTGGCTCACAGCTTATTGTATGCAGTACATATTCTTGCCTTTGAAGAAATAAGTTGTGACATAAAAATATGGAGTATTTTTTGTTTTTATAGGTTTGCGGGAGCTGAAAAATGTAAGAGGCAAAAGGAGGCGTGGCACACACCACAAAGCATATATATTCTTGATCAGCATGACAAGACGAGTCGATCTATATCTGTGTGTCTGTCCGTCTGTCCCTCCGTATGAACACCAGGATCTCAAAGACTATAAGAGCTAGAGACACCAAATTTTGGACAAAGATGGATGACAGAATGATAAGCCGGGTCGATATAGCCATGTCCGTCCGTCCGTCCGTCTGTCCGTGCTTCTGTATGAACGCAAAGATCTCAAAAAGTATAAGAGCTCGAACAACCAACAACAGACTCGTCTTCTCATCCTGATCAAGAATATATATACTTTTTGGAGTCTGTCACGCCTTCTTCTGTATGTTATATTTCTCACCTCCCTAAATCCTAATATACTAATATATTGAATTAATTCATAAACATACATGCACAAGTTCATAATTTCGAATAATTACATTGGTTCCTCCACATTAAATTGGATATTTAAAACAAATTTGTAATTTGTGCTGACGACGTAAAATATCACCAATATAAATATAGTGGGCCATAAGTCAAATAATAAAATTATATACAGCAAAAGTAATACAACTGAATTGCATTTACATAACTTGTTGGCAGGTATTAATAATACTAGCAAGTTTTTATATATATTATGCTGTTCATTATAGTGTTTCACATCCCTGGTAAAAATGTGTCCCGAAGCCCTGAAATAATAGCTCTATATATATGTTCCATTCCTGTGTTCCCCCGTTCAGGGTAGTCACCTTATACAAATATGATAACTTTGACCATTAAAAAAATGCATTTATTGCAACTAAACCGCATTAATTTGTAGCCAATATACAACATACAATTCATTCCATTAAAACTGGCCAAAAAAGAAGAAAGATACTATAACTTTTCAGGTATAAAATGGAGTCAATGTATATGCCCCCAAAATATATCCTACATATACAAAATGAAATTTTAACATGCATAAAAACGTTATTTAGAGCGTATATATAGTGACCTTCTTGGTGGCATATGTTTCTGGATGATATCCATTATGGAGCTGATACATTCGTTATCTTCTATTTTCGATCTGTATGCTGATATTTAAATTTGTCCCCAAAATATGCGGTATATCACAAATTATTTCTGGGACAG